AGGGCCTCTGCAAGCCACCATTCTCTATCACGTTCCTTGTTTTATTTTCTCTGTAGTTTTGAGCCCCACCTGAGATCATCTTGTTCAGTGCTGATTTTCTTTCTTGAGGACAGAAAGGCTGTGGCTTTTGTGCCCTTTGCTGAGCCCTTTGTGTCTAGAGCAGTACCCGGCATATGTGGCAGGTACTTTGTGTTCTGAGCATCTCCAGAACCTTGGGGATGCTTCCATTTCCAGCTCCATTGCCTCTCTCTGTGTGACTAATGGTGGGAGATGCTTCACAAGGAAGCAAATTTAAATTGTGTTTGGGTTTAGGGTGCTAGAGTAGTTATTTTCAAGCCGGCCTGTAAAGAGAAAGCTAAGGCCCAAAGAGGCTGGAGCTTTCAGAATAGAAGAACCCACATGCCTAATACAGTGTGGGGCAGTTGATACTAGGTGGTGGAACTCATTTGTAAACTAAACAAACCCCATATCTGATAACAAACATATTCTATAGGTTTAATGAATAATGTACGGTTTCACATGCTTTGAGATTTTCATGTGCTGTCAAATTGAAGATTGAGTGCTGGGGAAAGTAGGTGAGAAATACATAGCTTAGGACTGAATTATTTTGGAAAGCTTCTTGCTTCCTCTTAGCAAATATAATGAGAGATAAATCCTACATAGATTTAAATTTAAGTAAGATATTCTTTTCCCTTCCAACGTAGCATAGCTCCTTCTTCACTCTGCCCCAGTGGCTTGAGAATATAAATATTTCCTATCAACTACTGCTACTGTCCATTGCTATCACTACTGCTACTGGTATAGTACTGCTATTATTACTACTACTGCTACTGTTAAGCTACTGCTATAACTACTACTATTGCTTCTGTTACTACTGCTGCTATTACTACTGCTATTGTTATTACTACTGCTATTACTGCCCACTACTACTGCTACTATTGCTACTACTACTGCCTGTTACTACTACTACTGCTACTGTTACTACTGATGCTGCTACAATTGCGACTACTATTTCTATTATTACTACTGATGGTCTGTACAGTTCTTGAATAGTCTTCTTTCCTTCTAAGGCCCCACTTTCTTTCTTTTATGGGTAGAGTTTCTTTCATTTTGTCTTTTAAACTTTTTTTATTTTGGAATAATTAGAAACCCACAGGAAGTTGCAAAAAAAAAAAAAAATGTACAGGGAGACCTGGTGTAGCCTTCACTCAATTTCCTATTATAACATTCCATATGACTCCTATGTAATATCAAAACCAGAAAACCAACACGAGAGTTTTCTTTTTTTAATTTTAAGCAAGAATAGATTCATTTTTAAAGATTTATGACTTTTATTTCCACCATAGTATGCATGTATTACATATTTACACTGTTTGAACAAGAAACTGGTGCACAATTTGTTGGTCATTAGATGGTTACCTGACTGACTCTCAGAAAATACACAGCATATTGGTTATCGATGGTACCTTTCCTGTGTCTTTGTCATTTTCTTCTCTCATCCTGTGAGCAAATCATGGTGAAATGCATGTTGCTAGTGGAAAATAGGGGATTGATACATTAGGGGTCTAGAATCTTTGTATTCAACTATCATTTCTTTGCTTTTTTGGTTGTTTCCAGGTGTTACTTATAAGTTATTGTATTGGCTTATGCCATTTTCTAAGAAAAAAATGTTGAAAAGTTTCTTTGTAGTGGGATGAATTTTTTATTAATATGGCAATATTTTATTAATATAAAGAAACTGAAGCAAAATGTGATTTCTTCTAACTAAAAATATACTGTTATTTACTATGAAGTGATTGGGCTTTGGAGCTCCTCTCTTTCTTGCCCCCCAGGAAACTAGCACAGCAGCCTCTACAGAGGGACTTCAGTAGAGGATTTTCTAGGCAACAACAGAGCTACGCTCTGGAGTCACTAGATGAAATTTCTTTTGGAGCCTTCCTTGGCATTTGGCAAAGTTAGGTTCCTTTTCATCTGTGCAAAATGGCCATGAAGAAAAGGGCCTCACAAGACCCCTTTCAAGCTCTGTGAATTTTCTACTGCAGTTTTTCTGGCACAAGGCAAGACCTGAAATGTTCAAATTGCTCATTCTGATTGCTTCAGTAGTCTCATCAGGTGTTTCAAAAGGGAGCATTATCATTTCTTCATTCCTTATGTTTTGTCCTTCCCATAATCACATTGCCTCACTTTGGGGAGCAGGTGCATGCACCACTGGTACATGAGCTCATCATTTAGAAGCAAGAGACCCAGTGGGCACAGACTGAAGGGGCACTGAAGGTGGCCCTCCCAACATGGCAGCTCTGTGGGGGTCAGAGGGTTTGGAGTTTAACTAGTTAACTCACTTGTTCTTACCCCTGGCTGCACTTCACAGCAAAAATGCCAATGACTTGGCTCCACCCAGACCACTTAGTTCATAATCCCCATGAGACAGGGACTGATCTTGGCTTTTTTTTTTTTTTTTCCTGTTTAAAATTTAAGGTGCATATAATCAGGGTTGACAACCACTGACCAAGGTGTTGAAAACAATACATCCCTAACAAAATAACTGTGTTTTGTTTAGATTCTTTTATTAGGAGACTGGGTCAAGCAGATTGTGTGATGTCCAGTTGAGGGAAAGATCAGGAATGGGGAAGACATACCTTTGCCCTAGGATGTGGGTCAATGGAGAAACGGTGTTCATTCTGACAGGCAGTGTAGGGCAATTAGCAAAGGGGGTGATGCTTGAAGTCCAGTAGGGTTGCAGTTCCAGGCCGTCTGCCCATTCCAAACAACGCCCCTGTCAGAGGATGAGGTGTAGAAGCAGGCTCACTTTGCCAGGAGACTAGGTATGATCTCCAGCTAGCTGACCTGGATTCATGAAGGGGGGGGATTGTAGGAATGGGAGACACGCAGTGTGGTTGCCACTGCTTCTCACTTCCTGCTCCCACCCTGGATGGGATTGCAAATCCCTGTCCATTCTCCTGGAGGCCACTCTTCATGAAGCAGCAAGGAAGGAGAGAAGAAGGCTGAGAGTCAGAAGCCTTCAGAGCTTAGGCTTCACTCAATGGGAGGCAGGATGGAATTCTGAATGCTTAGTGGGGCTAAGGCATCTATATTTGGAATTTCTTACTATGACTGCCACACTGGGGTGGACTTTGTCTGTGAGCAGAGACCTTTGGGAGAGATCCTGCTTTGGAGAGACAGAGAAGGAGATGTTGGGGCTGAGTCTCCCTCCCAATCCTATCAACACTTTCTTAGCAATCCCAAACTACCACTATTGGTGGCACTTATTGTGGGTAGTTAATTGGCTTTAGTAATTTAAACCATCATCTTATCATTACTCTCTTTGCCTCCTTTCTAATTAGGTTTCATCCTATCATGACTTAAAAAAGTAGCAAAACCCCAGAACATACAAGTGGGAATGCTGACTGGTTTAAATTGGCCTCTAGAAGATTTGACATCACTCAAGTGAGCTGGTCTCCTGCAATCACAATTCTTTTCTCCTCTCCCCAACCCTGCTAGAAGCCACTCATTAATTATAGATAGAAAATGTAAAGTTGGTTTTTCTGCCTTGCACTCATCATAGAGATATATAGTAGATGCAGCGAAATTGCATTGCTAAACTTGAACTTGTCTTAAATCAAACCAACCTCTAAATTATCCTTCAAACTTCCCCCCATCCCCCTTCCCTAAATAATTATTGGCCCATAGACCAACTTGTATTGATGACATATTAAATTAGATTAACTTTATTTGAGCTCAGACTGAAAAGGTTGGAAAATAGCTTTTATTACCCACTCTAGGTGAAATCTAGTGTAATGTATCATATTAATATGCTATTTGATTCTCCAACTGAGATAAAGAAACAGAATTATGTTGGAGAACAGAAATCACATTGCAATCTCAGTCTGAACCTAATCATCAAAACTAAAGGATACATTTCTGAAATACAAAACGAAGAAAGAAGAAACAGCCAAGATGGAGGTCACAAGTTTCTCCTGTCTAGGGAATAAGTCTCCTGTTTTGGTACGTTGGAACTCCAACTCCTCCCCATTGCTTTTCATTAGTGTTCTTCCAGGCCTTCCCACATTCTTTAAATCCCTGTTTTTGCTGTCAACCTGTGCTATATTCCTGGTCTTTCAGCAGAGGATGGAACAGCAAGTGCAGCAATTTGGAAAGCTCTTGACCTAATGCCTGAATCCAGACAAGAATCATGGAGACTACAGCAGTTTTTTTCTCTAAATCTGTTTAGCTAGCTACCCCCAGTTTCCTCCCCCTGGGGCTCAGTAGCTTGGACGAATAATATCTGGTAAAATATATCTTCCTGTGTGCAACTGCAAGAATCCTAATACATACTGTTAAGATGCAGTACAATTCACTGCTTATCCTGTGGAAAACTGACCGGGTTCAGAAAATTCTATAAGCTCCTGAATACATTTCACATGCTTTTATTTATTTCTTCTTTAATACTCTTCCTTTCTTTATGTAGATGAAAGTTTCTGACATATCTTAAGTTTTTTCTCTCTGAAGAACTTTTAACATTTCTTTAGAGGCATGTCTGCTGGTAGCAAATTCCCTCAATGTTTGTTTGTCTGAGAAAGTGTTTCTTTCTCTTTCATTTTTGAAGAATAATTTTGCAAAGTACAGAGTTCTAGGTTCATTTTTTTTCTCCCAACGTGTTAAATACTTCATTTTACCCTCTTCTTACCCATATGGCTTCTGAAGAGAAATTGGATGTAATTGTCATATTTGCTTCTCTATACATAAGGTTTTTCCCACACCTCTGGCTTCTTTCAAGATATTTCTGTATCTTGTTTTTCTGCCATTTACTTACGACATGCTTAGGTGTAGGATTTTTTTTTTTTTTTTTTTTTTTTTTTTCTGTCTGGTGTTCTGAGCTTACAAGATTTGTGGTTTGATGTCTATTAATTTGGGGAAATTCTAAGCCATTATTGTTTTCAAACACTTTTTTTTTCTTGTGGTTTGATGTCTAACATTAATTTGGGGGAAATTCTAAGCCATTATTGTTTCAAACACTTTTTTCTTTTGTGTTCTCTCTTTCTTCTCCTTTTGCTATTACCATTACATGTACACCTTTCATAGTTGTTCCACAGTTCTTGGATATTATGTTCTATTTCTTTTCCTGTCTTTTTTCTCTTTGCTTTTCAGTTTTTGAAGTTTCTGTTTAATGTAGTCAAGCTCAGTGATTTTTCTCCTCAGCTGTATCCAGTCTACTAATGAGCCATCAAAGACATTTTCCCTTTCTGTTACAGTGTTTTCGTTCTCTTGTGTTCTTTTTATTCTTTCTTAGAATTTCTAGATATCTGCTCACATTATTTATCCGTTCTTACATGCTATCTACTTTTTCTATTAGGGCTCTAAGCATGTTAATCATAGTCGTTTTGAATTCATGGTCTAATAGTTTCAACATCCCTGCCATATCTGGGTCTGGTTTCAATGCTTACTCTATCTCTTCAGACTGTATTTTTTGCCATTTAGTGTGCCTTGTCATGTTTGGTGAAATGTAGATATGATGTGCTGGGCAAAAGGAAGTATTGTAAATAGGCCATTAATATGTGGTGGGTGGTAAGAGGTAGGACAGTGTTTCATAGTCCTATGGGTAGATCTCAAGCCTTAGGTGAGACAGGATGGATGTAGGGCACTGGATTTGGGTGTCCTTTCTCCAATGTGGAAGGCTAGAGCTAGCTTGATTGGGGGTATTTTCCTTTCATCAGGTCAGTTAGGCTCTGATGCATCCCCAGAAGATCAGGCTTTGCTAAAATACTTTATCTTGCAGTCAGAACTTGTTAAAAAGAGCAACAGGGATATTTTCTGGGGGAAAATGGTGAATAGGAGGCAGGACTAACTTGCAATTCCCACTCAGGTGGACGCAGCAGGATGTGGAGACCCACATAATGAACTTTTGCTCCAAGAACTACTGCAAGAATGTACCAGAAAAGCTGAGAGAATCCACAGACCCTTTGAAGGAGGTGGATTGCCACTGCAGGTTCTGTGGGACAGCTGAGGAACTGTGAGTCTGCTTGCTTTCTCAGCTGGGAGGCTTGTAGCCTGGGACAAGTTCTCAGGCCTGTTCACTTGCTGCCTGGAAATAAACTCAGTGCTGTTTGTGGAGCATGGTGAGAGTGAGACTGGTCTTTCTAGCTCTGGGCTGTACAGGAGCTGATTGAGGCCTATGGCTGCTAGCTTTCCCCACTTCCCTGGCAACTAGTGTGACACAACAGAGGCAGCCATAATCCCCTTGGGAACACAATTCCACTGGCCTAGGAATCATACCCGCATTTGTCATGGCAGCTGCAGCAAGTCTCACTCACCCAAGGGGAGTCTGGCTGGAGGCCAACCAACACACAACCAGCTCACCTAACACAAATATAACCAGTGACCTTCTCAGAGTCCACTTAACTCCCCAGCTACCTCCCCCAGGCACTGGTATCCACAGCTGAGAGACCTGAAGATGGATCACATCACAGAACTCCTTGCAGACATATTCCATTCCCAGCCCAGAGCCTGGTAGCTCTGTTGGGTGGCTAGATCCAGAAGAGAAATAATGACAACTGCAGTTTGGCTTTCAGAAAGCCCCATCCATAGGGAAAAGGAGAGCACCATATCAAGGGAGCACCCTGTGGGACAAAAGAATCTGAACAACAGTCTTTGAGCCCCAGATTTTCTCTCTGATGTCATCTACTCAAATGAGAATGAACCAGAAAAACAATTCTGGTAATATGACAACACTCTTTAACACCTCCAAAAGATCACACTGGTTCACCAGCAATTGATCCAAACCAAGACTAAATCTCTGAATTGCCAGAAAAAGAATTCAGAAGGTCAAATATCATGTCAATCAAGGCACCAGAGAAAGGTGAAGTCAAACTTAAAGGAATTAAAAAATTATACAGGATATGAATGGAAAAATCTCCAGTGAAATAGCATAAATAAAAAACAATCACAACTTCTAGAAATGAAGGACACACTTAGAGAATTGCAAAATGCACTGGAAAGTCTCAGCAATATAATTGAACAAGTAGAAAAAGGAGCTTTTGAGCTTGAAGACAAGGCTTTTGAATTAGCACAATCCAACAAAGACAAAAAATTAAAAAAAGAACAAAGACTGCAAGAAGTTTAGGATTATGCTAAAAGATAAAACCTAAGAATAATTGGCATTCCTGAGGAAGAATAAAATTCTGAAGCTTTGGAAAACCCATCTGAGGGAATAATAGAGGAAAATTTCCTTGGCTTTGCTATAGCTCTAGACATTCAAATATAAGAAACTCAAGATGTGGAAAATTCATCACAAAAATATCATTGCCTAGGCACATAGTCATCAGGTTATCTAAAGTCAAGACAAAGGAAAGAATCTTAAGAGGTGTGAGGCAAAAACATCAGGTAACTGATAAAGGAAAACCTATCAGATTGCCAGCAGATTTCTCAGCAGAAAATCTACAAGCTAGAAGGGATAGGGTCCTATTTTCAGCCTCCTTAAACAAAACAATTATCAGCCAAGAATTTTTTTATCCAGTGAAATTAAGCTTCATAAATGAAAGAAAGGTAGTCTTTTCAAGACAAATAAATGCTGAGAAAATTTGCCACTACAAAGCCAGTACTATAAGAGCTGCTAAAAAGGAGCTCTAAATCTTGGAACAAATCCTTGAAATACACCAAAATAGAATCTTCTTACAGCATACATCTCACAGGGCATATGAAACAATAACACACACAAAAACCCCAAAGTATTCGGGCAACAAATAGCACGATGAATAGAATAGTGCTTCACATCTCAATACTAACATTGAATGTAAATAGCCTAAATGCTCCATTTAAAAGATACAGAATGGCAGGATTGATAAGAATTAACCAACCAAGGATCTGCTGTTTTCAAGAGACTCATCTGATATAAAAGGACTCACAGAAACTTAAGATAAAAGGTGGAAAAAGATATGGATATGTCTTTTGGACATATCCATGCATATGGATATGGACACCATGCATATGGACACCAAAATGAGCAGAAGTAGCTATTCTTATATCAGACAAAACAAACTTTGAAGCAACAGCAGTTAAAGGCAGAGAGGGATATTATATAATGATAAAAGGACTAGTCTAACAAGAAAATATCACCATCCTAAATATATATACATCTAACACTGAAGCTCCCAGATTTATAAAACAAGTGCTAGTAGACTTAGGAAATGAGATAGACAGCAAAACAATAATAGCAGGGGACTTCAATACTCCATTGACATCACTAGACAGGTCATCAAGACATAAAGTCAACAAAGAAATAAACTATACCTTACAACAAATGGACTTAACAGACATTTACAGAACATTCTACCCAACAACTGCAGAACATACATTCTAATCATCCACACATGGAACATTCTCCAAGACAGACCACAGGATAGGCCACAAAACAAATCTCGGTAAGTTTAAGAAAATCAAAATTATGTCGAGTGTTCTCTCAGACCATGGTGGAATTAAATTGGAAATCAACTCCAAAAGGAACCCTCAAAACCATGCAAATACATGGAAATTAAATAACCTGCTCTTAAATGATCATTGGGTCAACAATGAAATAAAAATGGAAATTTAAAAATTATTTGACCTGAACAATAATAGTGACACAACCTATCAAAACCACTGGGATACAGCAAAGGCAGGATAAGAGGAAAGTTCATAGCATCAAATGCCTACATCAAAAAGTCTGAAGGAGCACAAATAGACAATCTAAGGTCACATCTCAAGGAACTAGAGAAACAAGAACAAACCAAACCCAAACCCAGCAGAAAAAAGGAAATAACTAAGATCAGAGCAGAACTGAATGAAATTGAGACCAAAAGAGCAATACAAAAGATAAATGAAGAAAAAAGCTGATTCTTTGATAGAACATTAGTGAGATTAAGAAAAGAAGAAAATCCAAATAAGCTCAATTAGAAATGAAACAGGAGATAATACAACTGATACCACAGAAATACAAAAGGTCATTCAAGGTTACTAGGAACAACTTTATGTGCATAAACTAGAAAGTCCAGAGGTAACGGATAAATTCCTAGAAATATACAATACTCCTAGATTAAACCAGGAAGAAATAGAAACTCTGAACAGACCAATAGCAAACCGTGAGACTGAAATGGTAATTAAAAAGTTACCAACAAAAGAAAGTCCAGGACCAGACGGATTCACAACTGAATTCTATCAGACATTGAAAGAAAAATTGGTACTGGCCAGGTGTGGTGGCTCACACTTGTAATTCCAGCACTTTGGGAGGCTGAGGCGGGCAGATCACAAGGTCAGGAGTTCGAGATCAGCCTGGCCAACATGGTGAAACCCCATCTCTACTAAAAATACAAAAATTAGCCAGGCGTGGTCGTGGGCGCCTGTAATTCCAGCTACTCAGGAGGCTGAGGCAGGAGAATTGTTTGAACCAAGGAGGTGGAGGTTGCAGTGAGCCAAGATGATGCCATTGTACTCCAGCCTGGGTGACAGGGTGAGACTCCATCTTAAAAAAAAAAAAAAAAATTGGTACCAATCTTTTTTGAAGTGATTCCACAGGATAAAGAGAAAATTCTCCCTAAACCATTCTGTGAAGCCAGCACCTCCCTAATATGAAAACCATGGAACGACATAACAAAAGAAAAGAAAACTATGGACCAATATCCCTGATGAACATAGATGCAAAAAAACCTCAGTGAAATACCAGATAACTGAATCCAACAGCATATCCAAAAGATAATCCACTATGATCAAGTGAGTTTCATACCAGGGATGCAGGGTATATATCACATACATCCAGTGTTGTATGTGATATACTCATAAACAGAATTAAAAGCAAAAATTACACAAAATCACCTCAATAGATGCAAAAAAGCATTTGACCAAATCCAGCATCCCTTTATGATTAAAACTCTCAGCATAATCTGCAAAGAAGGGACATACCTTAAGGTAATGAAAGCCATCTATGACAAACCCATAGCCAACATCATACTGAATGGGGAAAAGTTGAAAGCATTCCCCCTGAGAAATGGAACAACACAAGGATGCTCAGTTTCACCACTTCTATTCAACATAGTTCTGGAAGTCCTAGCCAGAGCAATCAGACAAGAGAAAGAAAGAAAGGGCATCCACATCAGTAAAGAGGAAGTCAAACTGTTGCTCTTTGCTGATGGCATAATTGTATAGAAAACCCTAAGACTAGACACTAGAAAACCCTAAGACTCATCTGAAAAGCTCCTAGAACTGGTAAATGAATTCATCAAAGTTTCAGGATACAAAATTAATGCACACAAATCAGTAGTTGTGTATACCAACAGTGACCAAGCTGAGAATCAAATCGAGAACTCAACCCCTTTTATAATAGCTGCACATAAATAAATAAATAAATAAAATACTTACAAATATACCTAATCAGTGAGGTGAAAGACCTCTCTAAGGAAAACTAAAAAACACTGCTGAAAGAAATCATGGATGACACAAACAAATGGAAACACATCCCATACTTATGGATGGGTAGAATCAATCTTGTAAAAATGACCATACTGCTAAAAACAACCTACAAATTCAATGCATTCTCATCAAAATACCACCACCCTTCTTCACAGAATTAGAAAAAACATTCTAAACTTCATATGGAACCAAAAAAGAGCCTACATAGCCAAAGCGAAACTAAGCAAAAAGAACAAATCTGGAAGCATCTCATTATCCGACTTCAAACTATACTGTAAGGTCATACTTACCAAAACAGCATGATACTGGTACAAAAATAGACTAATGGAACAGAATAGAGAACCCAGAAATAAAGTCAAATACTTACACTGTTCAACAAATGGTGCTGGGATAATTGGTAAGCCTCAAGTAGAAGAATGAAACTGGGTCCTTATCTCTCACCTTATACAAAAACCAGCTCAAGATGGATGAAAGACTTAAATCTAAGACCTGAAACTGTACAAATTCTAAGAGATAACATTGGAAAAACCCCTCTAGACATTGGCTTAGGCAACGAGTTCATGACCAAGAACCCAAAAGCAAATGCAACAAAAACAAAAATAAATAAATGGGACTTCATTAAACTAAAAAGCTTCTGCATAGCAAAATAAACAATTGGCAGAATAAACAGACAACCCACAGTCTGGGAAAAATCTTTTCAATCTGTACTTCCAACAAAGGACTGCTATCCAGAATCTACAAGGAAATAGAACAAATTAGCAAGGAAAAAAAGAAAAACTCATCGAAAAGTGGGCTCAGCATATGAATAGATAATTCTCAAAATATACAAACAGCCAACAAACATATGAAAAAATGCTCAACATCACTAATTATCAGGGAAATGAAAATCAAAAGCACAATGTAATACCACCTTGTTCCTGCGAGAATGGTCATAATCAAAAAATCAAAAAACAGTAGATATTGGCGTGGATGTGGTGAAAAGGGAATACTTCTACACTGCTGGTGGGAACATAAACTAGTACACCCACTGTGGAAAACCAGTGTGGGGATTCTTTGAAGAACTAAAAGTAGATCTGCCATTTGATCCAACAATTCCATTCCTGGGTGTCTATCCAGAGGAAAAGAAGTAATTATACAAAAAAGATCCTTGCACATGCATGTTTATAGCAGCACAATTTGCAATTGCAAAAATATGGAACTGGCCCAAATGCTCATCAATCAATGACTGGATAAAGGAAATACCACACACACAGCATGGAATACCACTCAGCCATAAAAAGGAACAAAATAATGGCATTTGCAGCAACCTGTATGGTATTGGAGACCAGTATTCTAAGTGAAGTAACTCAGAAATGGAAAACCAAAGATCATATGTTCTCACTCATAAGTAGGAGCTAAGCTATGAGGACACAAAGGCATAAGAATGATACAATGGACTTTGGGGACTGGGGGAAATGGGAATGAGGGTTAGGGATAAAAGACTACAATTGGGCACAGTGTACACTGCTCAGGTGATGGCTGCACCAGAATCTCAGAAATCACCACTGAAAACTTATCCATGTAACCAACCACCACCTGTTCCCCAAAAACCTATTGGAAAAAAAATAACAGCATGGATGAAACTGGAGATCATTATGTTAAATGAAATAAGCCAGGCACAGAAAGACAAATATCACATGTTCTCACTTACTTGTAGGATCTCTTACTTACTTGTAGAGGTGATGGTTAATATGTACAAAAAAGAAGAATGAATAATACCTACTGTTTGATAGCAGAACAGGGTGACTATAGTCAATAATAACTCAACTGTACATTTTAAAATAACCCGGGTGTACTTGGATTGTTTGTAACTCAAAGGATAAATGCTTGAGGGGGCTGGGTATCCCATTCTTCATGATGTGCTTATTTCACATTGCATGCCTGTATCAAAACATCTCATGTACACCGTGAATATATATGCTTACTACATACACATTTTTTTAAAAAAAGAATTATCTGATGTATTTCAAAATGGTTACTTTTCCCTTATTCCTGCTGAAGACACGAGCGAATTTTTCTCCGATAGCCACTGTGAGAACCTGGTTGAGCTCCATGAGATTAAATTTTTCAAAGGTGGTTAGGGCTGTGGGGAGGTGGGGACTGATCACTGTATTGACCTGGAGTTTTTAACTTTCAGACCTGTCCACGCTGAGTTTATAGCAACTGTCAATTACGGTTCAGGGTTTCCTACCCCAGCATGACTTTTCAAAGAGGCTTCTACTCGTGGATTTCTGCTCCAGTAAGTTGTGATTTTTAGTATCTGCCTGTCTCTCCAATTTGTGGGGAAAAAGTTTGCCCTGTGACCTCACCTCTCTGATGAATCTGAGAAGAGTTTTTGGTGTTTCCATTTGTTCAGCTTTTTACTTGTTGCTAAGGTGGAGCAGTGACTTCCAAGCTCCTTATGTGCTGGACAAGAAACTGAAAGCCAAATTTTAGAAGAAATTACCTCATGGGTTGCTGGCCAGCCAAATGACAGCCATGGCTGGGTTACATTTGGGGGTGTTAGGTGCTCTATAGGGATTCTACTTCCAGGATCTGGGGGACAGCAGCCCTCTGGGAAGAACGAAAAGCACAGTAACATTCTAGAACACGTCCTCAGTGTGGTAGTTGACCCACTCAGTTCGTGTATGCCTCAGTAGTGTACTGTTAAATTATAAACTTATGAATAAGAAATTTGTAATAAAGATTTTATAACCTCACAGGTCTTTAGTAAGGCTAAATAGCAGAGCATGGTATTCAGTGACACACTATGTTTAAAAGCTATACAGCTATAATAGGGGGTAAAAACTGGCTTACCTCAGGTGTCAACTGTAATATCTTGGCATACTTTGCCCGTGATATCTGGGGAACAAAGGTAACATCAAAGAGTAATGGAAAATTAACAGGAATAACATCTTGAAGTCCAGTGAGTCCACCACTCTGAGATCCTTTCAGTTCAGGCCTGCTGGGCTAGATGTGGGAGGATGATAAACAGGCTGGTGCTGAAGCAGCTATTCGTGGTCAGTTAAAGCAAAAATACATGGGTGGAATAAGTGAAGGACAATTTATTATATCGGGCATTTGCCGAAGCTATTTTTCTAGTATAGATGTACTTTCTTTTTCTCCAGAAAATAAATAGAACAATCTGACTTCCAGTCTTCTTGCCTCTCTCTGGCCTGGATCCACATCGCTTCACACTTGTGCAATTGAAATTGTTTTCCCACAGATTGCCTTACTTTCTGTCTTTTCTCCTTCCAATTCATTCTTCTTACTGCAGGAAGATTTATCCCCTAAAATACCCTGCTTATGATGTGCAGTTCCTTTTACAAAGCTTTCAAAGGCCCCTATTACACCCGGAGCAAAGTGTAAACTCAGTCAGTATTCTAGAGCTTCTACATTCAGACTACAATTCTTTCAGTATTTTTTCTCATTGTTTCCTGGCTTCTACTGTCCTGTCTGGCCACAATGTTTTCCAGAAGAATGAACGCCCCTGTGAATACCTAAATCTTTGGCCATGCCCTCTTTTCTAGGCTGATGGTTTTCTCTCAGCCCAAATAGGTTCTCTGGTAGCCTAGCGTCTCACCAGAGTCGCTTTCTATAAAAAGTTTTATTTCATCTTTATTTTGTCTCCCACAATCTCTAGTGATTCCTTTTTCCTGCTGCTACATCATTTCTAGACTGTGACATTCATTTGTATTGAGCTGTTCGCCACCTTTCACAGCCATTTGTTCTGGTGTTTAAGTCAAGTTCATGATCAAACCTCCTTGAGAGATGGTACCATTGCCTATCCTTCTCTGTGGTCTTCTCAGGGTCCACCCCAGGGCCTCATGTGGGAGGCACTAGTATGTATTTACTGAGCGAGTGAAGGGTACAAAGCAAAGCAGCTGCGAATCTGAGTCAAGGTATTGTGTCCTCCAAGGACGACTGAGTGCAAACAGAGACACGCTTCTCAGACAGGGTCTGCTCCTGATCAACTGCTCTGTTGCGGCTGAATGCAACCAGCATTATTCTTCCCCACACAGATTAAATCCCTTTGAGCAAGTGTATCTTAGACTATAGAGTGATATCCTATACATAATGAAACGTATAACTCTGTCTTGTGTAAATTGACTGTATTCTGCCCCACTGGTGAGATGTTTCTGTATTTAAGCTTTCTTGAATGTAGTGGGGCATTTGATATTGAAACAAAATGAAATCTTTTCTTGTATTTTCAAGCATGAACATTTAATCCATAAGAGAAGAAATTCAATAAGTTAATGAATATAGGGTAAAATATTAAATATTATTTGGTGGCTGAAATCATGCAAATTTTAATAACTAACTTCTATTGAAAGAATAGTGTTTGTCAGAGGTGGTTCTAAGAACATGCCATGAATTAACTAATCAAATCGTCACCATGATGCTATTGAAATGGCCGTATTATCATTATAATCTCCATTTGATCAATGAGGATCTGATGAGTGGTAAGTTGTGAAGCTTGTGTATAAAACTAAGACATTTGGTTTCAGAGGGAGAACATATCTGTTCTCAGTATACAGTTCTGCCTCTCTGAATTCTGCCTACTTCTGCCTTGCATAACTGCCCTTGTAAAACGAAACATTTCCTTACCACATGACCAAGCGAATGCACTTGTGGGTATTTATCTTAGAGAAATGGAAACTTATCTTCACTCCACATCTTGTATGATTCAGCTTTATTTGTAACAGAAAAAAACTGGGAACAACCAAATCGATGGATTCATTTGGGGAGTGGACCACAGGCTGGGAACCACCTTCTAGTGATGTAATCACCAACTGGACTCCAGTAGGACATCTCAATTTTCTTGCTCAAATAGAGGTTCTGTAAGATTATGAAGCAATCATGTGTCTTTTCTAGACCATTGATCAGGGGGGAAAAAAGCACTTTAAAGAGGGCACTGTTTTCACACCTATTTACATAGAAGCTCGTTTTTGTCTTCTTGTGAGGGGCTGCTTATTTGAAATTTTCATCTTTAGCTTTTTCTTTTTCTCTTTAAAGACAGAGTCTTGCTCTGTTGTCCAGGCTGGAGCGCAGTGGCACAATCTGGTTCACTGCAACCTCCACCTCCTGGGTTCAAGCAATTCTTCTGCCTCAGCCTCCTGAGTAGCTGGGATTACAGGCGCCTGCCACCACACCCGGCTAATTTTTTTATTTTTAGTAGAGATGGGGTTTCACTATGTTGGTCAGGCTGGTCTTGAACTCTTGACTTCAGGTGATCTGCCCCCCTCGGCTTCCCAAAGTACTGGGATTAAAGACGTGAGCCTCCACGCCCAGCCACCTTTAGCTATTTTGCTGTCTTGTGTTCAAACTGAGAGGGAAAGAAGTTCCCCTTGGTATCCTATTTCAGAACACTTGGACTGTATAAGAGGGAGTGGAATGGAGAAGTGAAGACAGTGGTCACTCCTGTCCCTCTGAACTCTTCTGCTGGTCATACACCCTGAGTGCCAACTCCACCCTTAAGCTCATACTGTTGTCTGTGTATAATTTTCCTTTAAAGTATTTTAGTATAGATGGTGTAAAATATTTATATGTGTGGACTAGTTTCACTCTATGGCCTAGGGGTGGTTAGTTGGCATTTATAGTGGCCAAAAGAGAAACACACATTCCAGTGGTGGGCACGGTTAGCATTTTAAAGATAACCAACAGGAATTCACAGTTCCATGTCCACTTCCCCGTCTTCAACAACCTCCTTCTGTAAATGTCTGCGCTAGATGATTGTTAATTAGCATGAGGATTATTGCAGATAAATTTTATTGAAAGAAATGGGTGGTGCGCATGATCGTTGGAATATGTGGGTTGGTTAATCCCTGTCCAGGCCCCTCTGCCTGTCTGTGGACAGGGGTGCAGGAATCTGGAGGGCCCGGCAGCTACGTATTCTCGTTTAGAGTATTGCCCTTGATCTAGGGCTGTCTGCTGTTTTGCTTCCTGCCTCTTAATTGGAAATTCTGTGACCTGATCATGGAAGGGACTTGAGGAGTTTCTAAGTGGCTAAGACCTGGGACCTTGCGGAGTTTCTAGGAACAGATTGTTTCGTGCCTGCTTGCCAAGAAACGTTGATTTCTGTGGCCGAATTCTGTCTGCAACCTGCTTTCATGGTGATGTGCCATCTGGTAGTGGCAAAGCCGTGTGTGAGAGGCCTCAGTGTTCTTTCTCATAACTAGAGGACAGCAGGAATAAGCTTAGCTCAGGGAGGGTCTCAAAACCACGCACACACAGCTTCTACCTTGTCCCTCTCTCTTAAAGGATTTCCTCTGATCTTGGAGCCAGGAGATGAGGAGACTTTGTGAGGATAAGATTAGATGATTGTGCCAGAAAACTAGAGGTACTTTAAAATCTGGGCCCCTTTGTATCTGGGAATTCTGTACTTCCTACTCAGTAATTTACTTTCACATTTTCCCCGTTGATAATAGGAGGAGACACACTTAAGGATGTATATTTTTCAGAGATGGTTATTTTGGAGCTTAAACAATGTCAGATTATTGTGAACAATTATTAGGCAAGGAAAATTGCCCACTTAATTAACCTAAGATATGTATTAATAGTTCAAAGCTTAGTCATTAGGAACACAAGCATGAGTTGTGAACAGTAACAGTCTTAGAATTCTGAAGTGAGTCCCTGTGTGATTAAATAATACATTGATATGAAATTCTGAGGATTAATTAAAGTTAAAATTCGAGAGAGTATATTGAAGATGCATCCTTGGCCCATGTTTCCTCTTTAAGTGTTGTGTTTATATATCAATCTAAAACAGAAAATGTGTTCTTTAATCTGCAGGCTCTTAGTGATTTTATCTTTCTCTTCAGAAAAATTGTTTAGTTGCTTTCATCATCTTCCTAGTACGTTTTGAACTGCTTAGTCTACCAAAGTAGAAGAGTTATGCTTAATAAAACCAAAGGACTTCTTCTTTCAAATGTTAATTCAGAAAAAAAAAAAAGAACCCTCCCAAGAATGCGAATGTATGATCTCATAAAACTTGTTTTTAGGCAAAGATGTAATACATGCCTACTTTGTCATTTCAGGAAAGTTATTGAAGTCAAAAACAGCCAGTGCCTAAGTTTTGGGTACAGAAGTGCAGTTAGCCTAAAGTTACATACACAGTAGTGGATTGTTAACTTGAACACACCAGTTGTAAATCTAGGTTTTGTTTGTTTTTTTTTGTTTTGTTTTTTTGTTTTTGAGACGGAGTCTCACTCTGTCACCTAGACTGGAGTGCTGTGGCGTCATCTCGGCTCACTGCAACCT